CTTGTTTCTGCTCGGACTTCCGAGGGACAGCCTTGTTTCTGCTCGGACTTCCGAGGGACAGCCTTGTTTCTGCTCGGACTTCCGAGGGACAGCCTTGTTTCTGCTCGGACTTCCGAGGGACAGCCTTGTTTCTGCTCGGACTTCTGAGGGAGAGCCTTCCGAGGGACAACTCTTGCTCTCATTAGTGCGGGTCTGAAGAACAGCTCTTGATTTCATCAATACGAGCTCTGAGGATCTTTCTTTTCAAAGTAGAGTGGACTCTTACTCGAACTCCCGAGGGATAGCCTTTGCTTCCATTAGCTGCTGAAGTAGAAGTGCGCATCCACTCGGACTCCCGAGGGACAGCCTTGTTTCTGCTCGGACTTCTGAGGGAGAGCCTTCCGAGGGACAACTCTTGCTCTCATTAGTGCGGGTCTGAAGAACAGCTCTTGATTTCATCAATACGAGCTCTGAGGATCTTTCTTTTCAAAGTAGAGTGGACTCTTACTCGAACTCCCGAGGGATAGCCTTTGCTTCCATTAGCTGCTGAAGTAGAAGTGCGCATCCACTCGGACTCCCGAGGGACAGCCTTGTTTCTGCTCGGACTTCTGAGGGAGAGCCTTCCGAGGGACAACTCTTGCTCTCATTAGTGCGGGTCTGAAGAACAGCTCTTGATTTCATCAATACGAGCTCTGAGGATCTTTCTTTTCAAAGTAGAGTGGACTCTTACTCGAACTCCGGAGGGATAGCCTTTGCTTCCATTAGCTGCCGAAGTAGAAGTGCGCATCCACTCGGACTCCCGAGGGACAGCCTTGTTTCTGCTCGGACTTCCGAGGGACAGCCTTGTTTCTGCTCGGACTTCCGAGGGACAGCCTTGTTTCTGCTCGGACTTCCGAGGGACAGCCTTGTTTCTGCTCGGACTTCCGAGGGACAGCCTTGTTTCTGCTCGGACTTCCGAGGGACAGCCTTGTTTCTGCTCGGACTTCCGAGGGACAGCCTTGTTTCTGCTCGGACTTCCGAGGGACAGCCTTGTTTCTGCTCGGACTTCTGAGGGAGAGCCTTGTTTCTGCTCGAACTTCAGAGGGACAGCCTTGCTTCTGCTCGGACTTCTGGGAGACAATCTTTATTTCTGTTGGTGCAAGCTTGGTAGACTCGGTTATCTTCCAGAGGAATCTTTCTTGCCAAAGTAGGGTGTGTGCTACCTTCGGACTCCCGAGGGACAGTCTTGCTTTTGTTCGGACTTCCGAGGAACAGCCCTTGCTCTCATTAGTTCGGGTTCCAAGGGCCCCGAGGTCGTGGATTTCAATCAAGAATTCATTTGCCTGAAATAGCAATGCCAACAAATGAGACAAACAATATCAATTTCAGATCATGATTCAGGCATTATCAGAATGGGGCAACATCAACAAATAATAATTATCTATTTAAGCTACAACAATTTTATTACTCTGAGCAAGTTCATGAAAATGCAACTATCAAGTTTTTGTCTCTCCGGGCTGGTTCCTCTCAAGCCGACGTAAAGCTACAACGGTCACACAAAATTTTGGCATCAGCTATGTATTTCCCAAGCATCCATAAGTTAAACAAACAACAATATATCGTCTTTATTATTCAACAAGAGGAAGAGGGAGCCAAATTTCATACTCACAAATTTGGGACTGTTAGAGGGGTGAAGTCCGAAGCCGATGTTGGAAATTCAAGTTAAAATCAGAGAGGTTTTACAGACTGTAATCAACAAGACTGGGCTAGGCTTGGCAGGACCACACACATTGCGTTGAGTGGGCGAACGTGCGTGGTGGGCGTCGGACAAGTTCAAGCCGGAAGCAACACTGGTACCACAGAAAAGTCAGCAACCACACACGTTGCGTTGAGAGGGCGAACGTGTGTGGTGTGCGTTGGAACCGTCGAAGTCAACAGTGATTGGAGCTGGAACCAGTGAGTGTAAAGCAAGGCCAAGATCTATGTATTCGGAGCTTTGAAAAATGTTGCTAAGCCAGGAGGGCACACCAACGACGAGCTGAACAGCGTTAGGCAAGACCACACACGACGCGTGGAACGGGCGACGTGTGTGGTTTGCATTGGACCGCCGAAGCCGGAGGAAGAGTTTCAGCAAAGAGAGGCCGATGGTAGGCTGGTTCGGTCTTGGCGCAAGGTGTCAAGCGTGACATCATTCCTATCACATCTCCACCCTTGACATCAATATTTCAATGCAAGCATCAAGTATTCTATTAATATCAGAATGGTCAACACAACCAAAAAAAAAAAAAAAAAAAAAAAAATGGAGCTCAATATTCAACATAGTCCCATCGTGCCTTCTCTCAAATGATAAATGCCAACAAGACATTCAAGTCAAGTTCATCTAAGAATTTCGTAGCTCAGACATGGATCTGAAATCTCTTTCCTTCAAGAAGTTATATAAATCAGGGCAGGTTCAACAGTGTATTACCCATCTCAGGCCAAAATTGCAAAATTCAATATCTGGGCATTTTACTTCTCTCAGTGACCAAGACTTTAATAAGGGTTCACTCAAGTCTTATTTTCTTTAGCAATGAACATCAATCAACAAATCAAGATTCACAAAATATATCTATGTATATCAGATGTAGAGTTCAAAGCAGTGGATTTTAAGTATTCACCCACAAACTTGTGATCTCAAGCTTTACAAATTTCAGCATCAGTGGAATTTAAAATTACAAGCACTAAAGCCCAGTAGAGCTAAATTCATGAGCACAAAATTCCATCAAAGCAAGAAGAGAAAGTGGGTTTAAACAGAGCTTACCTACAGATCTGAGAGGGCAACAGTGGATTTGAAATAATAATATCAAAAAAAAAAAAAAGAGGTTTCGTTGTGGCTCTGTTTTCTTGATTTACAGAAGCAGCGGCTGTGATCTTCGGTGGAGCAAGACTAAGCTCTGGTGTGTTCGGAGTTTTGATAAGTCACGTTGTTGGGCCGAAATGAAGCATCGACGATGAGGTAGAGCTGGTGTCGGTGTGAGTCAGCAGCAACTCGGGTCATGGCGTCTACAGTAGTCGAAGCTGTGGTGACACGAGCGGCGCTGGAGGGCAAAGACGCAACAGTTACGACGGCGTTGAGTGATGATAGTGCCGGGAGCTATGCCGTGAACAAGCGACAGAGTAGCTGGGCAGATCGACGCCATGTTGAAAAGGTGGCGTGGTCGGCGTTGGCCAGGTCACGGTTGAAGGCAGTGGTGAAGCGGCGATGGAGGTCAGTGAGCAAGTGGAGGTGGCCTCTGGTATTCTAGAAACAGAGCTTTCTTGAAGAATAAGCTTGGTCTCTCGGTTTAATGAGAGAAAGCGTACTCCTCTGTTTTTGAGACACCACTCCAACACTCTTCTTCGCCCTCGAAGACCATCCCCGCGAACACGACCTACCCTCGACTTCGCCTCAAGGTATGTCTCTCTCTCTCCGCAACTTTTTTCTCTCCCCTTTCTCCATCTCCATTCTATGAAACCCTGGACTGCAATCCCCTTCTTTGAAACTGCCTCTTTTACGTTTGTGAACTCACTGAGTTGGTTTATAAAATTAGGAAAATATTAGGTTTAGGTTTTTTATGTTTGTTTTCTTTGGCAGCTGTTTTGATTCCATTCTTCGAAATCCCCTTTTGTTAACCCCTATTTCCTGTATCGATTCTTGTTTCCCATTCTTCAAAATGCCCCTTTCACGTTTGTGAACTCACTTGGAGTGGTTGGATTCTAAATTTAGGAAAAGATGATATGAATAGCTTTTGTTTGTAATGTTTGTTTGATTTGGTAGTTGTTTTGACTCCATATATATAGATATATATCTTGAGATTTTGGTTGAGTTTGTGAAATCTGATGTGTGGGCAATTGAATTTCGTACTCATGTAACTGATACGAGATTGCAATTATTTATTTATTGAAATCTGTTTATGTTTCTAATTCTTCGTTTCTTCTTATGTTATACTTCTGGTAATGGTGCTTTTGGGTTATCATTGAATGTAATATTCCCCTTATGGATTAGTAGTTGCATATTTTACCAATACATTTCAGGATTTTTATTGATTGATATACAATTCTTCTCATGATTGGATGTTGTTGTTGCATTATCTATGCACATATTCTTTTAATAGTAATTTTAGATTTGTTTGGAATTCCATCAGACTAAGTAGGTTCTTATTAACATTCAAATCATCTTTTTAGTGCTAAAAATCTCCAACGCTCAAAAAATCATCCATAAGTACTAAGAGTTGAAGGAAACTTTTTTCCGTATTGTTCTTGTTCTTTTTGAACATGGTAGAGAGGGGGAAGAGGTTGTCAGGACTCAAAATATCAATGTCATGAACAAGCCTACAATGCCCTTCATCTTGGCCAAGCTGGTGAACTCAGAACTACCCTCCCTCATCAGAAACTGAACTTAAACTTCCCTGTTTCAACTACTGTACCCAAATCTCAAAATTAAATCATCAATCTCTGCAAAAGTGAATAATTTTGAAATTTTAATTGTATCCAACAATACAAGACAAAATCATTTCCCTCGGACAAGGTGGTTAGAGAGAATATCCCCCATGTGCCTTGCACATGGGCTCCATCCTACATCATGAGGTGCCTATAAATAGCACCCACCCATAGCTTTACAAGGGAGGGATTTTGGAGATTTTTGAATTCTTGGGAAAGAACTAATTTCCCTTTCTCCATTATCGACCTTGAGAGTGAAAGTGGGAGATCAATGGGAGAGCCTTGCCATTATTCTATTCTCTAGCCATTTTGCCTTCTTCTTCACCCAATCTCTTATCTCCATCATCTCCTTTGTTGTTGTGTTCCTAAGTTGAGATTATTGAAGAATCTAAGCCTCTCATCATATTCTAGAGAATTCGATCTTCGAATTTTCCAACTCCTTTCTCGAACCCTCTCCTACAGCTTCCAAAACGGTTCGCAAATCGATCATCAAGCCAACCCTTGTCATAGTTTCCCCCCTCTTAGCTTTCTACGCTTTTTTCAACACGAAACTCAATTCTGCCGACACTCTGTTTGTTTCCTAACAAAATGCCGTCGTTTTTCCAGGGAATTCTTTCCCTGTGAAGGTCTACATGCATGATCTTCCCAGAAAATTCACTTACGGGGTTATAGAAAGCTTCGCAATGGCTCGAGGGGGTCTGAAAGGTTCGGTAGATGATGTCTCAGTGTTGAAGTACCCGAGACATCAGCACTCGGCCGAGTGGTACTTGTTCGCTGATTTGAACCGGCCGGACCGGACCAGTTCACCGGTGACTAGGGTTTTGGACCCGGCCGAGGCGGACTTGTTCTACGTGCCGTTCTTTTCGTCGTTGAGCTTAGCAGTGAACCCAATTCGAGCGGCGAATGTAAGAGAAATTGATAAATTGATAAAGAGAAAATAAATTGTGTATATATTGATGTTATTGATTGTTGTTTGTTCTATATTACAAATGGTGAGTGGCTCCTTATATAGGAGAAAATACAATCCTTACAGACAATGGACAATGATGGCTCATGATGGAAAGTGAAGCATTAACACCTAAAGGCACCGAAAGGGAGGCTCACTATCTACTAATATATTATATCACTATCTACTAATATATTATCCCCCCTCAAACTCAAGGAGGATAGGTACAAACTGACTTGAGTTTGGAAAGGAACAAAACAGGAAAGTAAACTGATAAATAAAATAAAATAGGATAGGAGACACTGTATGGTTGTGTCAAATTGTTGTTGAAGACACGGTATGGTCGTGTCACACCGTTGTAGCAGAAAATGTCTGGACAGTTGACGAGGTCATGCCGGACCGATGTAGATGCTAACCGGAATCAATGTCGGGACAGTTTATGGGGTCATGTCGGACCGTTGTAAAAGCTTGTGGTGGTGCACCAAGGAGGCGACTTAGGGAGTGCGCCATGGGGTGGCTTGAGTGGTTCCCATGGTGTGTAACCATACTCACCATGATATAGGTATAACCCCCCTCAAACTCAAATAGGTGTGAAGATAGAAAACTATTTGGATGAGGAGATGGACTGGGGTATGTGGATGAGGAGATGCAGGAGGGTTTGATTGAGTGGTTGGAGGAGCAGGGGTATTGGAAGAGGAACAATGGGTGGGACCAGGTGATTATATGTCAAGACCCCAATGCATTGTACAAGGTTGTGGATAGAGTTAAGAATGGGGTGTTGCTTGTTTCGGATTTTGGACGGTTGGAGCACGATCAGGGGTCGTTGGTGAAGGATGTGATATTGCCATATTTGCATCGGATTAAAACCTTTGATGGGGATGTTGGTGTTGAGTCTAGGAAGTCATTGTTGTTCTTCATGGGGAACCAGTACCGGAAAGAGGTAAATTTCTATGCTTTTGGTTGTGTTAAATATGCTTGGTTCTACTACAAGATTGTAAAATTAAGCTTGCTGATTGACACACAGATATATGTATATGTAGTATGTGTATACAGACAGAGAGGAGAAAGAAGCCATTTTGAGTAGAATTAGCATATCCTGTCCCTGTGGATGCAAGGGACAACATGTTCTATTTACACTCAAATTAACATGTGGATATGAGGCAAAACAAATTATCATGACAAAGAAATGATGAGATCAATGCAATCTTTGCAGAATTTAACTTGAATTTTGTGTACCGATGATGATGACTAAAATTGCTTGATTTGTTTTGTGTGGAACTTTGGATTGAAACCATGGTAGTTGATTTTTCTTCCTTTTGTCACCTTTTTGTCTTGTGACGTTTCCTCAAAGTTCCCGCTTCAGTGCTTGTTTACTTTCATATTCTTGATTACCCTTTTAAGGTTATGACTCTATTTGTTTGATATGGTAGTTGTGGAATGATATGTGCCATCTCATCTTTTGTACGACAAAATAATACATTGCAACTATATGTACCTTCTAATGCTGTGTTTGATTGAGGGATTTTGGGAGGAATTTAAAAAGGAAAAGGAAAAAGGTGTGTGAAACTAGGTGAAATGTAAATATATTTTATTCATATTTCACCAAACTTTTCTTTTTCTCTTTCTAAATCCCTCTTCAAATCCTCCAACCAAACACAACGTAAATAAATCTGAGCCACAGACCAAAAACAAACCTTTTTTAAGTTATGACCACTCAAAATAGTAAGATTCTCACTTCTCAATTGACAAAGAACAAGGGTCCAGGTGACATTGATGTGCGAATATCTTGAGGACACTTGAGATAACAAAATCCCAGACATGTGGTTGTGATTTTCGACATGTCAATTTAACAGGCCATAGGCCATATCATCATTGTTAAAATCCACTCTGTTTGGTTCAACTTGTAAGTGTTCCTCATAACTTTTATTTTAATAATTTGTGCTTGGAAGGACTAATAAGCTAGCTTATAAACTTAAGTTGCTAAAATAAGTTGAGTATCATTTGGTTAATCTTGTTCCCACCAAACAGCTAGTTTTTGTTTTGAAGCACTAACTTATTTGTGGGGTTATTTTAAATCAATAAGTTAGCTTATAAGCAAAGCACTGAGGGAGGAACTGAAAAACTTATTAGTGGAGAGCTAAAATATCTTGAGCAACAATACTTATGTCATTATTTCATTTGATGTAGTTTATTGGAATTGCTTATACATAAGATTCCTTCTACCATATACTACAAGTTATGACATTTTGTGGTATTAATACCATAAGGTGTCATAACTAAATCACTTTCACTAACAACTAAAGGTCCCGTTTGTTTTAAGAGATAGAATAGAAGAGATTGATAATGAGGGAATTGTTAGTAAGTGGATTGATAGTGAAGAATTGTTAAATTATTTTTATATAAAATAATAAAAAAATATAAAAAAATAAACATTATATTTAAAAAAAAAATTTCCAATATATAAAAAATAAAAAAATTTCTAATCCCCTCACTATTTTTCTAATACCATCTCTACCTCTACCGTACCAATCCCCCTTCCTCCTCCGTACCAATACCAAGGGATTACTAATCCCCTCCCTATCTCTCAAAACAAATATTTCATTCTCAATCTCCTCCTCACTATCAAACCCAATCCCCGCCCCATAATCCCAAACAAACGGGGCCAAAAAGACCACAATAGATCATAATCAAACAGCACTAGAAGTATAATTAAAGAGAACTTATACGTGCCTCCAAATAGATAGACTTATTGTCCAATAGGTCATGTGAAAATTAATGACATTTTCATCAAATACTATTAAAAAACGTCACTAATTATTAAATTTCAGCGACAAATCGAAAATTTGTCACAAAAAATCACTGATTATAAATTTTAATAACAATTTATAAAAATCGTAAAAATAAAAGTTACTAATTATCAAATTTTAGCGACATATGCAAAAAAATCATCGTAAAAAATTATTTTTAACGATGATTTTACAAAGACTTATTTTCAATAGGACTTGATAGAAATTAAATCCAACTATTAGGACCTATTGATAATTTACCCTATAATTAAAGATTTCTTCAGTCATAATCAAAATAAAAACCACAATGAGTCATGACTAAGTCATAACTAAATACAGCTTGAGGCATAATCAATGACCTCTTCAGTCATAACCAATATAACAAATAGAAGATTATAACTAAATTATGACTAACACCACAATAAGTTATAACAAATCATAACTAACACTAAGATTATAATCAAAGACCACAAATGTCATAATTAGAGTGCATGGTACACACCTTTTTTGATGTTTGTATTATAGAATTTCCCTATATATATATATATATATATTGTTGAAAAAAAATATATACCTAGTGTATTTGGTGAAATTTATAGCTAATGAGACAAAAATAACTTGAACAAGTCTAAACAAAAACTTTAATTATCCAGCAATTAGAGGAGGGATGTTTCTAATTTTGCTTTTGAGATTATCAACTTCCAACTTGTACGAAGCTACACCAACAGAAATGAGAAACCCATCCCTTATCGATGGGAAGCTAAAAGCCCTAAAATCTACATGTTTAACAATTATCAACATGGCACTTCATTTTTTGATCTGTACTCGAAGGGAAAATAAAAGAACAGAGAAACTTCTACTGAAACTATCCAACTATATTATATTTTCCTGTATATTGTTCTTGTAAATAGTAAATATTTTCATGTTTCTTTCAAATATATTACATTTCCTTTGGTTGAGGAGATCCAAAAGATTTTTTCACTCAATCTACAATACCTTCACATTCCGCTTGAGGCACTATAAAGCCTGACTCCTCTTCAAAGGTATCCTCTTGATATGAGTGGGGAGAGTGAAGGTTCCCAGGAATTTGGCAGGCCTTCATCGTCTTGCAATGCTCTCCTTCATCTTCTCTGATGTTCATAAACACGTCATACAAATTCTCTGAAAGGTAAAAATTAAAGAAAAATAAACAGAGTGAGTGTCATTAATGTTGGCATATGCTTTTCTCATCGTGGCAAGTATTTTAGATAACAAAAAAGCTTAAATTTCCAATAGCTGCACTAGTAGAGTAAGACTTCCGATATAAGAGTGACTTTTAAAGGATTTAATCCATCAACACAGTAAGGTAAAAGAATCCTAATTAACTAACCCTTGAAATGCTTCACAAACCACCACACCGCACTTGCTCAAGCACAAAAAAATAAAAGGTGTACCCGGTGCACAAGAAATCTGGTTACTCAAGGGTTTGGAAGAGGTAGAGGTAGTGGGGCTAAGGCTGCCTGCCTACCCACCTCTCCTAGCCGCATGAAAAACATAAATAAATGAAGCATGAACACTTCTAAGAAGGTAACATGTTATGTCCGACACCAACACGACACAACACTCGTTAGACATTTCCCCACACTTAGACACACACAAAACACATTATAAGTCTGAATAAAATAACTTGAATCTAATTATAAAATAAAAACAATGTAAATTTGTATCTATTCTCTTCCTTCGAACTTTAAAAATTATTATCTTAGGCATAAAAATTCTTATATATGACATATAATAAACATATAAAATTATATATTTTGCACCTATCCCCAAGTGTGTTGTCCTACATTTTTTTAAAATCTTCATGCCGGTGTGTGTCCATATTTCTTAGTAAATAAAGGAAAGTAACATAACAAGAAAAAAAGCACAAACAAATGACACTTTGTTCTGTGAAAACCACAAGGATTAAAATTAAACAGGTATATAGTTACATGAAGTCTCTGCTCTTAAAGTTGAATCCTCCTTTCTCACATTTGTTGGCCTGTGCTTCCACCAATGCAACAAGCAGTGGTGCAACGTGTGATGTGAAATTTCATATTCCTTTTCTGTATTCACAGAGTACATGGATCAAGAAACTATTTGATTAGACTCCTACCAGATAACTTTTTAGTCAAATTGGTAACCACTGTTACACAGCCGAGTGGTATATTCTTAACCTCATTAACTCAATTGTGATGCAAGGTTGTAATTTTGTGGAGAGTACAGGGAAATTGACAGAACCTTGTAGCCTTAGAAAGAATTGCTAGAACACTACTTCTACATGCTAGTTTCCACAAACCAAGTAGCAACTTGAACTATGACCCACAAAACAAAAGCAGAGTTTGAACCTTTACCTATTTTTGGTCTTCGAGAATTGGGAACTCTTGCGGTTTGAAATTCATCTGAGGAAGAAATGCTTAGGAATTGTAAAATCTACGAGGTAGTTAAAGAAAAAGTGAGAAAGCTGTCAAAACTGAGAAAGTCTCTTCTGGGCAGTGGAAGTTTGTACTTACCAAACAAGTACAAGTCACCTCCAGTGTAGTATTTCACAGCAACCTCAGGTGCAGGCAATTTTTTCAGTTCATCTGTAAAAGAAACAGACCAACATGATCATGTTGATACCAACAGGAGAAACCTAAGGAGAATATATCATCATTATTATTAACAGGCCATGTCACAAAAGGGAAGTTGCATGAATATAGTGGAAAACAATGTCAGATGTAATCAGTTAGCTCGGATCACCCATTCAATTTTATGGCATACTATGCGATGTTTATATTCCTCCAAAGTCAGAAGATGAAAATCCCTTTGAATTTAGCATGCCCAATGAAAACCATTAACATGACAATGTAGATTTCATCAGGCTTATCTCAACTTTGTGGTTATACATAAGCAAGTGCAACTAAGCCTAGATTTTTCAGTACTTTAAAATACCTCCTCGGGCCTTGATAAATTTGTCATAAGTTTCATATGCATGGATCTCTACACATTCAGAGAAATGATCTGCAACAAAGATCAAATGTATAAACATTAGTAGCAGAGAATGAATGCTTTGACCTAGCTACTCTACAATAACTTTTATGATCTGGTTCTTAACTTGAATGCTCAGGGCACAGAAATTGATTAAAGGAATATAGGGGCAAGTAAGAACGAGTTAAACTATCTTCTACATGGAAGGATTAAAACTTTGTAATTTTGGCTCTAAGAGGTAGAATTTTCTCTATGGAGTCCCTTTTATCAAATACCAAAAAACATATTAAGGTTGTAATTCTCAGACAGGTTCTCTATTTGTTTGTTCATAAATAGGTAGTAGGGTTTTCATATAAACATAACTGTCATGAATCCCATCACCATTATTGACAAATAAGCAAGCATGTAAAAATCCGAATTACTTACATGCCATTCGCGGGCTCAAAGCATACATGAAGACTGTCATAAAATAATAAAATACCGCGATATGTTGAGCAAGAAAGCGGTCAAACCACCAAGCATTTCCCCCCAATTCCTGTGATAATATATCCCTATTGTCAATAAATCACAAAGAAAATATGCAAGTACAAAATAATCTAGAGTAGTTTGTAGTCTGTGTTATGATAAATAGTAGGCTAAAAGTAAATTATCAAGCTATCAACTTTTACAAGTAAAAACTACTAGTTCATGTTCTTGCTTTGTAGGCATCATCAGTTTTCCTCCTAAAACTATTCCAAACTCTTCATGACTAATTGCCTATCATAACTTTATTAAACCATGTCATCTTGGCTACATTTCTTCATTTGGATCTTTAATAAAAAACAACACCCAATTAGTATACTAATGTGTGTCTGGGAGGGAAAAGATTGGGTACACACCTAACCTTTGGTATAGTACACAAAGTGGTTGTCCCATGACTTGAACCCATAAGGCCAAGATTTTTACCATAGAGCCAATGGTCATTTGGATCTTTAATGTCAAACATAAATTGGATGGACCAAACATAGAGATCAGGAAGCCAAAACGAGGTTGACAAAGGTGAACAAAAAGTTATGTACCATAAGTCATAGTGGAATCATTTCTGGTTGGCACTTGCTTTCTTATGAAACATCAGAAAAAGAAAAGAAAAGAAAAGAAAAGAAAAGGACGGGGTAGACGTGAGATCATGACAAAGCTCGAGAAAAAAAAGCATTACTTCCATTATAAGCAGATGGTGCATCTCATTCCAGCTCTCAGCAAAGTGCACTTTCAGATAATCTGCTCTTCTCCACCATCCAAAACTCTCATACAAGTGTAGAACAGAGATAAAGGCTGCCATATTAACAAAATGACACAATCAGTCCAAGCTCAAAATTCAAAATGCCAGGCACAATATTCAGTAATGTTCAGGACAATTTGGACATAAAAGCTTTCTTAAGAACCTGAGAGATTTCAAAGCCAATTCAATACACAATAGTAACCTAAGAAGCATGGACACAAACACGCTGACACACAATTTTCAAAATATGTAGGACACGCATAAGGGGACATGTGCAAAATATATAATTTTATAGATTTATTATATGTAATTTATAAATATAAATAAGTAGTACATGTCATATATGAATATTTTAAAGTATAAAGGAGAAGAATAGGTATAAATTTAAATTATTTTTTGTTTCATCATTGGATTTCAAGTTATTTTATTCAAGCTTGTAATATGTTCAATTTGTATCTAAAAAAAAGTCCAATGAAACTAGTCTTACCTCTGTGTATACTAGGCATGTTGGGTTATGGCAAAAATTAAGAAGAGAAAATTAAAGTACGTGCTTTGTATATCAGATACATATGCCAAAGTACCATACGAGGTACCAATAACCAATAAGTACCCGGTATGGATACATCATGTTTGTTGAAAGTACCCATGCCTCATAGGATATGACACGTTATATTCTTAGAAGTGTCTGCGCTTCCTAGGTAGGAACAAATGAATGATTGAAACATTTGATAAATGAGCATAATCCTTGATCACATTCATTTATTGTTTACTTTAAGAGAATCGTATCTTCAAATATACGACTAAGTCTTGACGAATGTTTGGCAATCATAATCAATTTTGCTCTTCTAGGCTATGCTAGGCATTTTGTGCAATATTAATTATAATCAATCACTTCCTTGAGGATTAAAACTTAAACCATTCTATACAGAAATTGGCAATATAGTCTTTGATTCCCCTTGAAGAAAATTAAGCAAAAATAGAAGGTAAGGAAGTTTGGGCACTCACCAAAATAAGGAACTCTTGCAATAGTTTCAAGTACAAAAAACCTTGCATAGTCTCTATCATTGTACAAAGTATCAAGTATCTTTACCACCGAGTCCTGGAATGGTTAGTTAAAAATTAATTTCTAAACAAACAGTACCAACTTGCGACAAAAACAGAAGAAAGCCCCTATGCTGATAAAGATTCCAAGTAACATGTTCTGGTAAGGAAGCACAATCAAAAGAATAAGATAACACCTCAAATTTTTCATACTCCCAAGAGAGACATAAAAGGTGGGTAGCAATCCTAATACTTTTAGCTAGCTCTCCAATATTTCATATGAAATAGTAGAGGTTATCAAGAAGTTGTATGTAACAAAATCTGAGCATTAACAAAGTGAAATGAATTGATGGATTACATAACATAAGGAACTTCATCAATCAACAACAATTTGTCAATCATAGCAGTGTGAATGAACCAAAGGAGGGGTTAACAACTCAAAACTTTTTTATTGCTCTGCAAAAACAATTCGTTCAGCATGTCACTCGTCTAATATTGACTAGGAAACACAGCCAAGTTTAAAATAAGAGTCTCATATACGGCTATCCCCATAGAATTCATTATTCATCCAATTAAGAGCCTAGAAGTTCCTTCGCACTATAAGTTTATAGACATTCATAGAATATAACACATCCCCAATTAAAAAGAGAGAAAAAAAGAAAAAAAAAAATAGAGAGATAAAAAAGAAGACAAACTGATAAATCAGTAATCATATGCATCAAAAAGGTTAGGACACATCTAGCGCAATTAAATTAAGGCATGGCATATTACCAAATCACCACGGAACTGGAGCGAGCATTGGCGGACGAAGGGGGTGGAAGGGGGAGTCACTGCCCCTAAAACAATTTCACAAACTTAGCTAATATATTGTATTTACCCCCTTAGTCTATAATTTGTGAAGTGTTGGCCCCTGCAAGTTTTTTTTTCTTCTTCTTCTTCTTCAAAGCTCAAATTGTTTCCAGTCTTTAATTAAGGTTATCCTACAATACATAAGTATATTTAAGATGTAAATTATGATCAAAATTGATGTTTGTTAGAAATTATTGTGTTGGTGAGATTAACAAATTATTAAATCAAATTAGTTATGTCTTATTATGATATTTGATTATATCTCGAAGTGGTATTAGTTATGATTTATTCAATTATGGCTCAAATTGGTGTTAGTTATGACCCTACATGTCTATGATAAATGTGCAGATAGTATTTGTATGTTATCATTTTTTTATCTTTTTTATTTTGTACAAGTGTAAAAAGTACTTTATAATCCAATTTTGATACTTTTTGTTTTGTTAATGACTATTAGATACTGCTTGAAAACTTTATTTACAAATTTAATGATAATGTTCAATTTTGATACGTATAAAGTGAATATTTTAATACAATATATGTATGAAACTTTGGTAAAAATGTAATAAAATAAATGTACAGTCAATTTTTAAATGTATAGAGTTTGGCCCCCTCTTAACGAGATTTCTTCGTCCGCCACTGGGGAGTGAGATAATTTGATAGATGAAGAGTCCGAAAGAGAAACTTACCGTGAGAAAGATATTTATAGACTGTTCAAGCTTAATAACCCATCTCTCCAACCCACTAGAGGATGAACTATTTGATGACTCCCCATGGATTCCTTTCCCATCGTCGACAGGAATAGTCTTCGGTTGGAATGATTCCTCCACAACCACTTTCTCCTCATCATCTTGCAAGACTGTTGCTTGGACTCTAAATAACTTCCTACACACATTGCAATGAAATTGCAAAATCATCAACGAATTAACAAAAAAATAAATAAATAAATAAATAAATAAATAAAAATTTTAAAAAACAAACAATCACTTATCCAAAATCCCTCTTCAAAATACCCAGCAATCTAATCAGTACCCATTGGTCATCATGCGAATTTTGGATTCAATACACAGCTAGAGTCCACAAAATATACATATTTAATATTTCCATTTAGAACCTCCATTAAGCTGAATAACCAAACAAGGCTTAGTGGTCTGAGTTGAGTAGATATTTTAGTACTCTTTCTAGGTCCAAGACCTTGATATATGTAACATGCAAAACTTCAATTCATTTTCCCATACATTTTCTCACCAAGCTTTGATATAAAAAGGGGGCAAATTCTAGGAAATTCTAAGTTCTGAAAAGTCAAATTTTGCTATACAGAGAAAAAAAAAACATATATAGAGATCAGAGATTCAGAAGCACAAAGTTACATACCTTGGAACCAATCTATTAGAAGCACAAGAAAAAGAGAGATGATTGAAACAAAAAGGGTTTTGAGACTTGAAAGAACTGTAATTTCTTGCTTTGAAGGACGACGCTGATGACACTGTTGTTGCCAAAACCGTGGAAGAGACAGACGCCGCCATAGTTTCTCTCTTTCTCTCTCTCTTTGTGACGAGGTTGAAGAGGAAATGAGAAACGGAAGGGAAATCAAACGTGAATTGAAAAGTGTCACTTTACCGAGAAACAAAGGGAAAGTCAGGTTTGGCGAGATTTTTTTTTTAATATTTTAAAAAAAAAAATTTATTTACAGAATTAACTCATTTTTTAAACTATTTAAGAAATTAATTTATTTTTTGAAATTACATTTTCAATATGTAATTTTATCTTGAAGTTGTAAGTTGAAAATGTATTTTATGATGACATGGTGAAATTACATGTTCAACATGTGATTCGAAATGCATTTTCAATTTTAAAATTACATTTTAAAGATGTGATTTCAAAAGTAGATTAGTTTCTTAAATAGTTTGAAAAGTTGACAAATTCGCTAAATAAAATTTTTTTTTTTTGAATATTAAAAAAAAAACTCCAGGTTTGGCAGACCAAACATTAGAGAAAATTTAGGGCCCGGGTACAACGAAAAAGGGACCTTAGAGCATCCCTACCAATTTACTTAAATTTTGTCTTAAAATATTATTAAAAAGTTCATTTCCTATTTTAAGAATTGCTTTTTCATTTAGTTCTCCCAACAGACTCTCTATTTGTTGTCTATTTTATTAACAAATTTTCTATTTTTTTATTTTATTTTATTAAAATATAATTTTTAATTATAAATTTAATAAAAATAAAAATCATAAATGCATATTGCAGTCCTTAAACAAAGCAAAACAATATATATATATATATATATAAGGGAGCTACAGTTGTAGCAAAAATTAATTTAGAGAATTATTTAAGAGATCTAATGCAGGTGGATAGGGAGTCATTTATTCCTTAAAATAGATAAGGAGGGAGTTTAGTGATTTTGGTGGAGATGCTCTCATACTAAGAAAATTTAGAGAAATTGATTGATTTGAAAAATTAGAAAAATATTATGAATCCTTAAATAATTTATTAAATTTTTTTTTATCAAATCTTGTTTTTATAATTGTGTGATCTACACAAAATTATATATGTAGGTTATTAAAATTTTTAATAAATTTCTAACCAAGGGAAATTAATTGAAGTAGTGTCCTTACTAGCAAATAGATATTTACGAGCGGATATTAGCTTTGTGGTTTTCCTTGGGTTAAGGATGGAGCAAATAGATATTTACGAGAGGATGCTAGCTTTGTCGTTTTCCTTGAGTTAGGAATGGCGGTTTGTGTTGGCGCATATTCAGCCGTTGGGGGTAATGTTTTCAAAATCGGACCGGTGAGCGAACCGGAAAATTTTTTTTTTTTTTTTTTACAAATTACAAACACTCCTCTCGAGATTTGATAAAAATACAATTTTTTTTTTTAGATTTGAGAAATTACATCACGTTTCTTGAGATTTATATTTCTATAACAAATTATTCTTTGAAATTTTTATTTTCATACAGATTTCTTCCTAATTTTTTCTAATTTGTTATGAAAATTTGACTCTCAGAAGGCAATTTGTAATTTCTCAAATTTCAAGAAGGAATCTGTATTTTTACCATACCTTGAGGAGAGTGTTTGTAATTTATCTTTTTTTTTTAAAAAAAATATTAAAAAAAATAGAGAGTGAAAAAATAATTATAAAATGATAAAGATATAAATAATTTATGTATTCAATTATATGAATAAATCTTATATTTTTATTAGTAAAAAAAAAAATTTACTCTCCACTTTTTTTAAGTTCTCTCATTTCTTTTTCTTTTTTCTCATTTATAACCCTAATTTCAAAACTTGTAGGGTGATTGACTTTCTAAGGGGGAAATCTAATTCCAACATCTACTATGCCTACCAATGGCATAGCAATGTAATCAACACCTAGTTGGGTATCTTGATTGTTGGCCAGACATATCTGAACATCAGTTGAAATGTTATAATCTCGAGGGAAGGTTGGATGTTAGCATTGTCTTTCACTCTCTAACGGTGAACTTCCATAATTTGGGAGAGAAAAAATATTTGAGACTACTAATTAATGGTGTTATTAATAATGTGATAGTGGGCCTCATCCATTATAATAGTGTTTGTTGTGTTTTTTTTTTTTTTTTTTCACCTCATTAATGGTGGTTTAGTGATACCAAATTAATGGTACCAATCACTACTGCTCGGGAGAGTAGGGGCAATGTGTGATTTTAATCTAGCAAAGTTTTTCTAAATTTTTCCTTGTGTGATTCCTCAAATGAAACTCAAATCTAGGTTGGAAATCAAAGGAAGAAGCACATTTAAGTGCAAAAAATGAAGAATAGAGATCAACTAGAAAGAAAATTGAAAATGAAAGATTTGAGTGACTTACGGGTCAATTCGGGTAAAACAGAAAATAGATTTAGAGATGCTGGAGGAAAATGAGACATTTAATCATAGCAGAAAGTTGCGGTGATTGTCGGAGATGATCAAGAAAGAACAACGATTGGGGCCTTACAAGGTTCGACTGTATGAGCACGAAATAATATTCTCGTATAATCCTATTAATTAAGTTTGCACTCCTCCAAACATCGTCGCTTTACTTTCTGAAAATACAAATGTGAGCTAGCCGGCGGGTGTGTGTCGGATATCTCTCCGATGCCTAAGTCAGCAAATAGACAATAAACAAAAAGCTATGTATATTTGAGAGTAAAAATTGCGATATTTGTACATTAGCCCTGTTATGAACTTTTATAGATTCCGCGTGACAAAATCCTAGTAGAACTCTTATTCTCCAATGTAGAGTCCTCCTAGAAATCACATTTCTAAAAGATAATGCTTATCCTTTAACACCCTCTTCATTGCTTAACCAAGTGAGATGGCCCAACCATGGTCTTGGCAGTAACACAACCGAGCTGGTACTACCTTGCCTTGCACGGGTTTTAACCGCGCTCACCTAGCTCGATTGTGCCTTGGGCATCCTTTAGCTCAGTTTTTCTTCCCCTATATCTCGGTCCAGAACACCCAAACTAGGCTAATAGCAGACTTCCCTAGCCAAATTGACAGGATCAAGGATCGAGCTATGCAAGCCATTACCTCAGCCCATAGCTCAGTCCATTTTCCAGCCGATCTTAGCTCGGCCTAAGTTTCACACAAATTACCCTCTCAGATGGAGGTTTGAAAGTCCAAGATAGAGAAAATAGAGAAGGTAATGACTAGGGGAGCATGTGTATCTCTTGGAAAGATAGAGAGGCGCCAAACTACGTGATGAGTTGAAATTTGAGAAAATTGAAGCAACATGCGTTAGAGGTGAAATGACGAGGGGAGGAACCAATGAAGTGGTGACATGTCAATGTGGTAGGTGAGAAGTTAGATTTAGGGTTTTAAGGAATTTAGATGACATGTACTGTTATGCCGATATGTTGATATATTGGCACAAGTATGGCAAATGAAGACATAGATTGGTCAGCATATGATTTGATTAGCAGATTTAGCTTTCATCCCCTTAACCCGTTGACGAGGTGATGGAAGTTAAGGATAGGTGTGGAGATATATTTTTTGAGTTAGGTCACATGACATGACCTCAGGATGATAAGCTACATGGCAGAAAGTGACTGGACGAGGTGTCGCCATTGCCCATACCTTAGCCAAGATATTCAGACTGCACAAATAAATCCTAGTGAACTATGACTCTAGAGTAGTTAAGGATAAAACTCATTAGAGAGGTTCACTCCAAATGAACTATGAGGGAACAAATCCTAGATAAGGATGAGTCCTAGAGTTTATGATAGAAGGGGCTTCTAAGTAAAAGTAGTGCACTCTAAATAAAGAAATCAACCCCTATGAGTAGAGGTATATGAGATTTTGTGCACCAAGTTTATTGTGCTTTAATTTTGTTGATATTGTCACTGACTTTATCATCAAAATATCTTTTTAGTTGATTTAATTTTGTAGGTGAGGATCTAAGTAAATTTATCTAAAAGATCAATTTTGTTCTTGAATTTTTAGAAAGAAAAAATCTTAGTATTGATCATGTGTAGTCAGATCAAATTTTAACGCACACAAAAAATCCTAAGTTGCATTCAAAACAAGAAATATCTAAGTTGGATATTATATGATATCGTGCGATTGTCGTCCTTACACCCAAAAGATTGAAAACAGTGTTGGTCAGGGTTTAAGGTCTTCCACTACAATTCATTGACTCAGGCTAAGGTCATGACAACATATAATTGTAACAAAAATGGTGAGAGCCTAGTAAAAATCTAAGTCATCCTTTTTACTTATTTTTGTCAGAGAAAGTCTAGAATGGGTTTTTGTTAGTTTGGAAGTGATGATACTACTTGTCCCTGAGGAACGGTCGGCCTGATCCACGTCTCCCATACCCTTGTCCGATCGCTAGATCCACAGAAAACTTGCACAAGAGTCCAACGGGGAACGAGAGTCCCCCAATGAACCCTCCGACGAGCCAATTAGAAAAGAGAGATTAATGGAATATAGAGATCGGATGATGATAGAGAACTTAACCTTCTTTTTGTCTTAGAAACTTGTTTATATCCTTTGTTTATCATTTCCTTATCCACTCCGACCTGTCATGTTGGCCAAAAGTCTATGTTCTAGCTTGCCTTGTTCATGATAAGACTGTTTTGTTCCGATGTGAAGGGGTTACCGCATTAAATGCTGCAGGGAACCTCATTAATGGCTGATGTGTGGTGTAATAACTTTGCAGGATCTTTGTTTGCTTATGTGGTTGGTTCTTCTCTTGACAAGTGTTTAGATGTCATTGGTTTTTGGTGCAACATTGGGTTCCAATGATGTTGGGCTTTAGTGTTTGAATCATGCACTGGGCTTTAAGTGGTGGGCTAAAATCCCCTATGGGCCAACCTATGTCAGTAGTCCCCCATTCCCAAGTGTAGCTTCAGTCCAACGACGTGAATAAAGAAGAAGACAGGGGTTGTGGCTGGTCGAATGAGAGAAAACCGACTGGAAGAAGGGCCGACCGCAAAGGATAGCCGAGAGAGAAGGCCGACTGGAAGGTGGGCCGACCACGAAGGGTGACCGAGAGGGGGGCTGACTGCGAAGAGTGACTGAGAGAGGGGGACCGATCGCGAAGTGGGCCGACCGCGAAGGGTGACCGAGAGAGGGGGCCAACCGCGAAGGGTGATCGAGTGATAGGAG